CCCACACACACACACACGCACACACTTACAAACAGAATTACATGTATCACTACATCTCGCTCGACATTGTTGATCGAAAAGTAACTGTCTCTGTTCCTGATGACAGCGTTAAATAATACTTATTCAATTGCTCAACCGCTTCGATAGCGGCTATGATTGCAGCTCCCCTTCCAAGCCTCCAAGTGAAGTCATTCTCCCTTTTCCTGTGCTTTCAGACTTCACGGAGCCAGCCCGCCATTGGGGTCAAGCAAACAGCCAAGCCTAGGGTGAGTGCTCGCTAAAGTTACATTGACAGGGTGTCTAAAGAGAAAAAGAGAAAAAAAAAGTAGGACACAGTAAGAGGGAAAATAGAGGGTACTTGTGTTTGTTTGTTTGAGTAAAGAGAAGCATATTGACATAATAATTGAGAAGTGATGAGGGGAAAAAAGAGAAAGAAAAAAAAAAAATAATAATAATAATAATTATTATTATTATTATAGTAACAACAATAATCCTATTAAGTGCACCTATAGCGTATACACACGCTTTACAGTATGCCTTATATGCGTTTTACAACATTACAACTATTATTACTACTAAAATTCAACCAAGGCGGCAGTAAATTTGTCAATATATGAAGAAAAATGACTTACGCGTTCGAGATATAACAAGTCTGAGTAAAACACAAAACTGTGCTGTTTTTAAAATCAACAGTAATGTGTGATGTGCATTACGGAACTTTTCCCCCCGAATTCTTTTTTTAGTAGAGGTTTTACGGCGCTCACAACTGCATAAGGTCATATGAGCGCCAGAAGATAAGAGGTGTTACCTCTTGTAACAAACATAAAAAAGAGGAAGGGGAGATAAGGACGATAGATGTTTGATAGGAAAGAAGAGGAGCAAACCACACCAGAGCACCCGCCATCCACCCACACCGAATTCTTTGGTTGATTTTCTTCATATTGACAAATTTAACGAACGACCCATGGTTGAATTACATGTATATTAATAAATTTTCTCATAGTTTTGCTCAAGTTAGTGCGTACATTACCCTTTTGATGGGTCCTGTTTGTTTGTTTGTTTTATTTGTTTGTTTGTTGTTGTTTTGGGGGGGCGGTATTTACTGTTTGTTTGCTTTTTTGTTTGTTTTTAGACTCCCGGTATGCTTCTGTATTGTTCTTCCAATAGCAACAGCAAATAAGTGGTCACATCAGCGGCCACTATTATCACCCCTCACGCCACTATGATTATCATCATTATCGCTATCATTGTAGTAAAAGCAATCATTATTAGCATCTTCACCATGTGTTAGAAAGCGGAGATAGTACGATACTTGAACACGTTTCAATATTTTAGAAGCACATGTAATATATTATTGTAAACGAATGTTACACATTATACTAATGCTATCTGCAAAGGTTCTGAACGTTTCTGTCTTCCTTTTCTGCCATTGTTGTTTCCATCTTCTTATGAGCCATCATCAGTATAGTCACCATCATTATTATTGTTTTTATTAGCATTATTTTTGTCATCTTCCGCATCATTAGCGTCACTATCATCAGAATTATTGTCATCATCCAGATCTACATCATTATCGTCACCATCATCGTTATCGTCATCGCGTCACCACCATCATCAGTCTCGGCATCATGTCGTGTCGTAAGGAAAGTTTTGTTTAATCTAACACTTTCAATAAGTCTTATGTACGACGAAGAACGCTATCGGAGGGCGTAATCTCCATGGCATAAATAAATATTATCCATGTTTGATGCCAACGTCATTATTATCTTTATCGTCATCATAATCTTCATCGTCATCGTCCCCATCATCGTCTGTACCCGTGAGCGAAGACACAAAATATACAGCAACTTCTGTAAACGCATAACAAGAGAACGGTAAAATAGCATACCACCACCACCCCTCCCCCTCTCTTCCTCTCCTCTTCTTTCTCCTACTCTCTCCCTATCCCCATGTATTTCTCCCTCTCCCTATCCCCTTCTAATAGTAATAGATAATAGATAGCATTTGTATAGCGTAAATCCCCGCTCAACAGCAAGCCCTATGCGCTTCACAATCTATACTATTACCCGGGCAGACCTCAAGCATTCTGAAACAAAATTTCAACTTCCTGGGAAGCATTCAGTGCAAGCGGCCATTTATAGGCGCTAAAACGCTAACATACTGACACGATCTTTTGCTGAAAGAGAGAGAGAGAGAGAGAGAGAGAGAGAGACAGAAAGAGAGAGAGAGAGAGGGG